CTCTCACTTCCTCTCTGTAAAAAAATCAATAAAATATATTTTTTTAAAATCTTTTTTTTTTTAATATATTTTATTGATTTTTTTACAGAGAGGAAGGGAGAGAGATAAAGAGTTAGAAACATCGATGAGAGAGAAACATCGATCAGCTGCCTCCTGCACATCTCCTACTGGGGATGTGCCCGCAACCCAGGTACATGCCCTTGACCGGAATCGAACCTGGGACCTTTCAGTCCGCAGGCCGACGCTCTATCCACTGAGCCAAACCGGTTTTGGCTAAAATCTTAATTTTATTTATTCATTTCTTTTTTTAATATATTTGTATTGATGTCAGAGAGGAAGGGAGAAGGAGAGAGAGATAGAAACATCCATGATGAGGGAGAATCATGGATCGGCTGCCTCCTGCACGCCCCACACACTGGGGATGGAGCCTGCAACCTGGGCCTGTGCCCTGATGGGAATCGAACCGTGACCTCCTGGCTCATAGGTCGACGCTCAACCACTGAGCCACACCGGCCGGCCGGGCACACACAGCAGCCCGTATGCTGTCCCCACCGTCCCCCTCCTCAAAAGGGCCAGCAGCCACCACGTCTCGCTAACATCAACGATGTCACCCCCTTCGTCAATTTTACGATTGTCTAGCCACGATGCCGTACACCTGAAACCCATACGACATAATAGTGAATGTCAGCTGTCGCTGTAAAACAAACTAAAAAATCAACACATTCAAAATTAAATGACAACAATAAAAGTTGTATTAAGTACCTACCTCTACTCCCCCCCCCCTCCCCCGCCCCACTGAGTCTCGCGACTCTGTTTTAAACAGAACGAAGGTCTAGTGCCCTGTGCGGGTGGCTCAGTGGGTGAGAGCATCATCCTGATACACTAAGGGCGGGGGTTCGATCCCCGGTCAGGGCACATACAAGAAGCAACCAACGAATGCGTCAGCAAGTGGAACAACAGGATGATGTGGTGGTTTTTTTGTTATTTTTTTTCTCTTTCTCGCTCTCCTTCCCTTCCTCTTTCTAAAAATCAACCAATAAAAGTGTTTTAAAAATTGTTCTCCTCCCAGTGAGCATGGCTCAGTGGTTAAGCGTCGACCTATGAACCAGGAGGTCACGGTTCGATTCCCGGTCAGGGCCCAGGCCCAGGTTGTTGTGGGCTCCATCCCCGGTGGGGGGGCGTGCAGGAGGCAGCTGATCCATGATTCTCTCTCATCATTGATGCTTCTATCTCTCTCTCCCTCTCCCTTCCTCTCTGACATCAATAAAAAATATTTTTTTTTTTAAATTGTTCTCCCAAGACCCAGTTTAACAGACAGGAGACACAGGCCTGGGCCCCGGATTCAGTCTCAAATCCGTCCCTCTCCCCTATTCCCCGCATCAAGCTGTTTAGTTCCATTATCCCTGGGTCCTTGCTGATGGGGTGGGGGTGAGGGGGGAGGCCGGCTCCGTTGCCATGGAAACCTGTGCTCTGAAGAATGAGCTGCAGGATTAAGTGTCCGCTCCAGGCCTCAGAGCGAGTACGTGAAAATGCAGTGATGGTCACACAACATCGCCACGAATGGCGCTTAGAGATGAGCACACACACACACTCAGAGGCTACGTCTGGGAAGACACTCCGGGAACATGTCGGGAGAGAGGGCGAGGAGAGACTGGTTTCTCCTTCCCCCTTCCCCCTGTTAACGTGCGAACACACCACCTTCTCTTTTCTTTTTCTTTTTAACATATATTTTCTATTAGAGAGAGGGGGGGGGGAGAGAGAGAGAGAGAGAGAGAGCGAGAGAGAGAGAGAAGCATCAATCTGTTGTTCCACTCTCCTATACATTCATTGCTTGCTTGCTTGTCTGTGCCCTGACCGGGGATCGAACCCGCAACCTTGGGGTATCGGGACGACCTGTAACCCACTGAGCTACCCCGACAGGACCCTGTATCACCTTTCCTAAAATGTAAAGATGGCACGACAGGCGTATCCAGAAAAAGTTCAGCTAGAGCCCGGCCGGCTGGCTCAGTGGTTGAGCGTCGACCTATGAACCAGGAGGTCAGGGTTCGATTCCTGGTCAGGGCCCAGTCCCAGGTCCAGGTTGCGGGCTCCATCCCCAGTGTGGACATTTTGGGAGCATGATTCTTTTTGGTACTTGGGCAGCTGGTGATCGTTGGTCCTGGCGAAGGAAGGAAGGAAGGAAGGAAGGAAGGAAGGAAGGAAGGAAGGAAGGAAGGGAGGGAGGGAGGGAGGGAGGGAGGGAGGGAGGGAGGGAGGGAGGGAGGGAGGGAGGGAGGGAGGGAGGGAAGGTGATGGCCAGTGTGGCTCAGTTGGTTGAGCTTTGACTTGTGCACCAAAAGGTCACCAGTTCAGTTCCTGGTCAGGGCACGTACCTCCCTCACATGGATGCTTCTCTCTCTCCCCCTCCTATTCCACTCTCTCTTTAAAGAAAAAAAAAAAAAATAATACGCCCTGTCTGGTGTGGCTCAATGGATAGAGCGTCGGCCTGAAGACTGAAGGGTCTTGGGTTCAATTCCAGTCAAGGGCACATGCCCGGGTTGCGGGCTCGATCCCCAGAGTGAGGCGCGCAGGAGGCAGCCGATCCATGGTTCTCTCTCATCATTGATGTTTCTGACTCTCTCTCCCTCTCCCTCTCTGAGATCAATTAAAACATATTTGCTACAGGGGGACAGTGGAAGGGGGTCTGTGATAATCAAAGGATTTCCCTGCCTTTTTGTTTTGCTTTGTGGGTTTTTTTTGAGAGAGAGAGACATCGATTGGTGGCCTCCGGTACGCGCCCTTGACGAGGAACCCAATACGAGAACCTTTGGTGCTGGGGGCGCACACGGCCCCGGGCTCCCTGTCTTTGCACGGAGAGCCTGTAGGGTTAGACAGCAGGGGGTCTGGGTCCCCCTTATCCCAAGCGCTCAGGGCTGTGCCCAGCGGCCCCCCAACCCCACGCGCGCCCCATGGGCTCAGGGCTGTGCCCAGAGGATCCCCAACCCCGCGCGCGCCCCATGGGCTCAGGGCTGTGCCCAGCGGACCCCCAGCCCCGCGCGCGCCCCACGGGCTCAGGGCTGTGCCCAGCGGTCCCCAGCCCCGCGCGCGCCCCACGGGCTCAGGGCTGTGCCCAGCGGCCCCCCAGCCCCGTGAGCGGCAGCTGCTGGGATCAAGGCCGGGCGCGGGCTGTGCGGCCCCAGCGTTGGGGAGCCCGGGACCCCGCAGCTGTCGGGGGATTAGCTGTGAGGAAAGCCGATCCTGTGCGCAATGGCTCAGGCATGTCCGCCCCGGGCAGCTGAGCCCAAGGTTCGCGGCTGGGGAAGGTGCAGAGGCCCTGGTTGCGTGAGTTCTCCGTGGGGGACCCCGCAGGCGCCCCGAGGAGCAGGGGACGGGGTGCAGAGGACGCGTGGGCTGCAAACACGACTGAGAGGAGGTGGCTTGGGGTCCTGGCCCGGTAGCTCAGTTGGTGAGAGCGTCCTCTGGATTCACCAAGGTTGTGGGTTCGACCCGGTCAGGGATGGCCCTAAGTGGTGTGGCTCAGTGGATAGAGCGCCGGCCTGCGGACTGAAGGGTCCCGGGTTCGATTCCGGTCAAGGGCATGCACCTTGGTTGAGGGCACATCCCCGGTAGGGGGCGTGCAAGAGGCAGCTGATCAATGTTTTTCTCTCTATCCCTCTCCCTTCCTTTCTGTAAAAAATCAATTTATATATATATATATATATATATATATATATATATATAAAAGGAATCCACCAATGGATGCATAAGAAGTGTAACAGCAAATCTCTCTTTCTCTCAAATCAATGAATACAATTTTTAAAAATTAAAGGCTGCCCCTTCCGGCCTTCTTTCTTTTCCCAGAGGGCAGCAGAGGGGTTTGAAACAGGAGGACTATGTGGTCAGATCGGCAATTTATAGAAAGAGGGATTTGGCTGAGCAACACAGACTGATGAGCAAAAATAGATCCAGCGACAGAGAAGCATCGAACAGACGGTCCAACCTCAGAGGGAAGGAGGGAGGGGGTGGGGGTGGGGGTAGGGATCAACCAAAGACCTTGTGTGCGTGCATATGAGCATAACTAATGGACACAGACAGCAGGGGGGTGAGGGCATGTGCTGGGGGGTGGGGGTCGCGGGGAGAGGTCAATGGGGGGAAAGGAGACATATGTAAGACTTTAAACAATAACGAATTTTAAAGAGAGAGAGTAAATTAATTAAATTAAATTTTTAAAAAGGGGGACTTGGCTTTGAGTAGGAGAAGCAAAGGGTGGGCAGGGGTGTGGTGGAAACGTGTGAAGCTATACAAGTCAGAGCCGGACCGAGAGCAGAACCAGCATTCGCATAGCTACCCCACCCCCCACCCCCTCCACCACCAGCCTGCGGCAGCCACGGCCCCATCACAGCCTGAAGGGGCTATTTTTACAGCCGCGTCCAGACAGGGTGGCATTTCATCCAGAAATATCGGCGGAGCTTTTAAAAAAAAAAAAAAAACCCACAATTTTTATTTTTAGTTATTTGTTTTCCGATTACTGTTGACATGCAATATTTTTTTAAATGGTTATTGATTTCAGAGAGAGAGAGAGAGAAACATGGATTGTTGTGTCACTTATCAATGCATCCATTGGTGGATTCTTTTTTTTTTTTTAAGTGAATGACCCTTTTAATATATATATATATAAAATATATATACATATATAAATATATATATGTATATATATAATTAAACATATATATTTAGCCCTAACTGGTTTGACTCAGTGGATAGAGTGTGGGCCTGGGGACTGAAGGGTCTCCAGTTGGATTCCGGCCAAGAGCACATGCCTGGATTGCGGGCTCGGTCCCCAGCAGTGGGCGTGCAGGAGGCAGCCGATCCATGATTCTCTCTCATCATTGATGTTTCAATCTCTCTCTCTCCCTCTTCCTTCCCCTCTGAAATCAACAAAAATATATTTAAGAATAAAAATACTATTAAAAATAAAGAAATAAAAATTGTAGAAATAGAAACCGATAAAAACGCGCAAGTATCAGCGCGTCGCCAAGAAACTAGAACGACAGAGCGGAGAGAGAACGAGGGAAGAGAAGCAGCCGGCCTCCGTCTGCCGGAAGCCGGCCCATCCTTGCTGCCTGACACAGTCGCTGCAGGGAAGAAACATCTGCACAGCGTATGTTTCAAGGGACCTGGCATATATGGCATAGTGTTCTTAATATGTTTGCTCCCCTTCTTGGCGCTATGTGTTTTAACCAAGGTCACCTCTCTGAGAAAGGTTGTTTCCCCAGGTAGGGATTTTCCCCTGAAGTTAGGGAGGGGATAAAACCCCTTAACTAAGTGCCAGGCGGGTAATTAATCACTTTAACTACAAACAATCACCCTTAAGCTACATAATCTTTACTCCCTGGGATGGAGATAAGAAACGCCCTAACCTTTGGAATAGAGATTGATAGGATTAAAATCAACTGGTATAAATACAGATGTAACAAGACAATAAAACACAGAACCTGGAGACAGAACCTGGCTATGCTGATCGACTGAACGCTGCCTCTGTGTCATTCTTTCTTCGCCGACTCCATCCACAGCCCTGGACCAGCAGGGGCTGGACCCCAACATCCGCCCAGGCCACCCCCAGCAGCATCCCCCACTTTTCCCCTGAGCAGAAGCCGGGAGGCCGGTTCTCTTCTGGCTCTTCCACAGCCTTACCTGGCCCACGTTCTAGCACCATGGATCCTGGAAGCGGGGATAAAGACAGAAGCTCGGCAGATAAATGGAGCCTCTTTGGACCAAGATCCTTCCAGAAGTCTGATTCGGAAGGCTTTGCCACCCAGCCCTACGGAGGAGCCCAGAAGCCTTCTCCAATGGAACTGATGCGCATGCTGGCCACCAGAAAGGCCGAAGGTCCAGCCACCTTCAAGCCGCCCAAGATGGACCTGCCAGTGATGGGAGGGAAGAAACAACCGCCTCGGACCCCTAATCTCAAACCCCGTGACTTGAATGTGCTCATACCCACCAGTTTCTAGAACTTTCTCTTCCAATGACTGGATAGAGGTGTCTTTATTACCCTGGCTCTGACATAAAAATAAATAAATAAATAAAAAGGAACTCCATGGCATTCGCACGGCGCCCCCTGCTGGCCATTTTGTGCAGCACGTGGCATGGCTCTCCCCGCCCTTGCCATGCGGCGTGAATTGTTTTGTGCTGCAGAGTATAAAACACGCCCTGGAAAATAAATATAACAATAAAGCACGCTCTGGAAAATAAAAATAAATAAAATAAAAATAAAATAAAACACGCCCTGAAAAATAAAAATAAATAAAATAAAAATAAAACATGCCCTGGAAAATAACAATAAAGCACGCTCTGGAAAATAAAAAATAAGATAAAAATAAAACACGTGCCCTGACCGGTGTGGCTCAGTGGATAGAGCGCCGGCCTGCGGACTGAAGGGTCCAGGGTTCGATTCCGGCCAAGGGCATGTACCTTGGTTGCGGGCACGTCCCCAGTAGGGAGTGTGCAGGAGGCAGCTGATCGATGTTTCTCTCTCATCGATGTTTCTAACTCTCTATCCCTCTCCCTTCCTCTCTGTAAAAAAATCAATAAAATATATTTAATAAATAAATAATAAAATAAAAATAAAACACGCCCTGGAAAATAAAAATTTAAATTACAAAAAAAAACAAACTCGTATTGGATTTCGAAGACGTTGTGTGAGGAAAAGCAGGTGCAATGTCTCGCTCACGCTGCTTGCTGTCGGCCACATGTTGGTCGCGGGATCCCCTCTCCAAGGCACGCGGCTCAGCAGGATGGAGTCTTGCAATTAATCTCACCGCTTGCTTTTTAAAAATATATATTTTATTGATTTTTTTACAGAGAGGGATAGAGAGTTAGAAACATCAATGAGAGAGAAACATCAATTCAGCTGCACACCTCCTACTGGGGATGTCCACAGGCCGACGCTCTAGCCACTGAGCCACACCGGTCAGGGACCACTTGCTTTTTTTTAAAAAAAAAAAAAATACGTTTTGCTGATTTTTTACAGAGAGGAAGGGAGAGGGATAGTTAGAAACATCGATGAGAGAGAAACATCGATCAGCTGCCTCCTGCACCTCCTACTGGGGATGTGCCTGCAACCAAGGTACATGCCCTTGGCCGGAATCGAACCCGGGACCCTACAGTCCGCAGGCCGACGCACTACCCACTGAGCCACACCGGCCAGGGCAGCACTCGCCTTCCTAAGGAGGCTGCCAGGGCCTGTGACAGGCGTGGCTCGCGTTACATGCGCCTTCGTGTCCCACGGGTCGGCGCTGTTTCAAATGTGTGTGTCGATGGCTCGGCTAGCAATCTGCCCGGTTAGCAAACTGCACCTCGGCTGGTACCCTGCAGGGGCCTCCCCTCCCCCACCCCCACCCCCAGCCAGGCTTGGGGCTAATGGGCCGCCCGCTGAGCTGGGGGTCACCCGGGCCCCATGAACTCCGATGCTTGTCTGCAGGTGGCGAGGGGTTCAGAGTGAGGGTGGGAACCCCTCCTGCCAGAGCCTCCCCCACACAGGACTCCCCTCCACGACAGCTCAGGAGCCCCTGTTGGAGGCCAGGCTGGGCGTCTGAACCCACAGGGACACCCAGCCCTGGAACATTCCAGGCTCTGGCATCGCCCCCCAACCCGTTCCTGTGGCAGCCCCCCGCCCCCCAGCTCCGGCCTTGCTGGCTGCAGTTTCCATGGCAACGGATGTTGCCGGATGACAGCTCTTGAGGCTGAAGTCCGCCCAAGGAGCTGGGCAGGGGGGCTTTGTGGGGGAGCCCGCCCGGGAGTGGAGTCCCGCATCCTGGCGAGGGGAGGAGGGGGAGAGGGGGGTCGCTGGTGGGAGCCCGCTGAGTCCTGGGCGAGAGGCTGCCCCCGGCCGCGCCCCAGGCACCCCCTGTCCCGGGGGAGGTCGAGGCGCCATTGGAGTCTCTGGGGTCAGATCCCGGGCTGGAAACCGGACCCCCAGGCTTGCTGCTCCCTCCACGTGAAAACCCCGTGGAGGCCCTGGCCGGTGTGGCTCAGTGGGTAGAGCATCGGCCTGTGGACTGAAGGGTCCTGGGTTCGAGTCCGGCCAAGGGCTCCTCCCCAGCCCCGGCCCTGGTCAGGGTGCCAGCAGGAGGCAACCAATCGGTGTGTCTCTCTCACATGGATGTTTCTCTCTGTCTCTCCCTCTCTCTGCCACTCTCTCTAAAATCAATGGAAAAATACCCTCAGGTGACGATGAACAAACAAAACCAACAACAAGGTGCCTCCCGGGAGTCTGAGTGGCCGCGGGACTTGCATTTCACTGTGGCCACTGCCCAGGTGAAGCTGAGGGAGGGACCCTCCAGGGGCGCCTGGGGGAGGCGGGGGTCAGGGAGGGTGACCTTCTCCGGGGCCCCAGGAGCGTGCGAGGGGGCTTCCGAGCGGTGAGGCCGACGTCCAGGACCCTGACTGGCCATTTATTCACAAATAACGACAGATATGGACGGCCCGCCGCCTGCTCTGGGCCCAGGCGGGATTTTGTGCGACTTGAGGGCCTGGAAAAAAATGCCTCTGTGTGTGTGTGTGTGTGTGTGTGTGTGTGTGTGTGTGTGTGTGTCTCTCTGTCTCTCTCTGTCTCTCTCTGTGTCTCTTTCTCTCTCTGTGTCTCTGTGTGTGTGTGTCTCTCTCTGTGTGTGTCTCTCTCTGTGTGTCTCTCTCTCTGTGTCTCTGTGTGTGTGTATCTCTCTCTCTGTCTCTCTCTCTCTGTGTCTCTCTCTGTGTGTGTCTCTCTGTGTCTCTGTGTCTCTGTGTGTGTATCTCTCTCTCTGTCTCTCTCTCTCTGTGTCTCTCTCTGTGTGTGTCTCTCTGTGTCTCTGTGTCTCTGTGTGTGTGTATCTCTCTCTCTGTCTCTCTCTCTCTGTGTCTCTCTCTGTGTGTGTCTCTCTCTGTGTCTCTGTGTCTCTGTGTGTGTGTATCTCTCTCTGTCTCTCTCTCTCTCTGTGTCTCTCTCTGTGTGTGTCTCTCTGTGTCTCTGTGTCTCTGTGTGTGTGTATCTCTCTCTGTCTCTCTCTCTCTGTGTCTCTCTCTGTGTGTGTCTCTCTCTGTGTCTCTGTGTCTCTGTGTGTGTGTATCTCTCTCTGTCTCTCTCTCTCTCTGTGTCTCTCTTGTGTGTGTCTATCTCGTGTCTCTGTGTCTCTGTGTTGTGTGTATCTCTCTCTGCTCTATATCTATCTGTGTTCTATATATGTCGTGCTGGTCTCTCTCTGTGTTATCTGTGTCTCTGTGTGTCTCTGTGTCTCTGTGTGTGTGTCTCTCTGTCTCTCTCTCTGTCTCTCTCTCTGTGTCTCTCTCTCTGTGTGTCTCTCTGTCTCTCTGTCTCTCTGTCTCTGTGTCTCTCTGTGTGTCTCTCTCTGTCTCTTTCTGTCTCTCTCTGTGTGTCTCTGTGTCTCTCTCTGTCTCTCTCTCTGTGTGTCTCTGTGTCTCTCTCTGTCTCTCTCTCTCTGTGTCTCTGTGTCTCTCTCTGTCTCTCTCTCTCTGTGTGTCTCTCTCTCTCTTGTCTCCCTCTGCACCTCCGGACCCCACGCCAGCCCTAGTTTCCCTGGCAACCGTTTCTGTTGCCGCCAGTGGAGGACCCTTGAGGAGGAGGAGGAGGGAGGGGAGGAGGAGGGGGAGGGGGAGGGGGAGGAGGGGGAGGGGGAGGAGGAGGGGAGGAGGGGGAGGGGGAGGAGGGGGAGGAGGAGGGGGAGGGGGGAGGAGGAGGGGAGGAGGGGGAGGGGGAGGAGGAGGGGAGGAGGGGGAGGGGGAGGAGGAGGGGAGGAGGGGGAGGGGGAGGAGGGGGAGGGGGAGGAGGAGGGGGAAGAGGGGAGGGGGGAGGAAGAGGGGAGGAGGGGGAGGGGGAGGAGGGGGAGGGGGGAGGAGGAGGGGGAGGGGGAGGGGGGAGGAGGAGGGGGAAGAGGGGAGGGGGGAGGAGGAGGGGGGAGGGGAGGGGGAGGAGGAGGGGGAGGAGGGAAAGGGAGAGGGGGAGGGGGGAGGAGGAGGGGGAGGGGGGAGGAGGAGGGGGAGGGGGAGGGGGAGGAGGGGAGGGGGAGGGGGAGGACCGGTCACAGGGGAGCAGCCTGCCCGCCCCCCTCCCGCCCCAGTGCGTGCTCGCTCGTGCCTCCATGTTTGTCCAGAGGCTCCCGGATCGGGTCCTGCAGAAAGAAGGGGCCAGAAAAGAGAAAAAAGGAAAAGAAAGAAAAGAAAAGAGAAAATGGTCAGTGAGGCTCCCGCTGGCTCCCACCGAGACCCCGGCCGCTCCGCAGCTGCCGCCGGTGCGGGCGCCCCCCTGCCGCCCCCCGTCCAGCGGCCTGGCGAGGCCGGACAGACCCTGGAGGATCATTGGGGGGAGCCCCCACAAAGGAGAGGAGCCCCACAAAGGAGAGGAGCCCCACAAAGGACAGGAGCCCCACAAAGGAGAGGAGCCCCCACAAAGGACAGGAGCCCCACAAAGGAGAGGAGCCCCACAAAGGACAGGAGCCCCCACAAAGGACAGGAGCCCCACAAAGGACAGGAGCCCCCACAAAAGACAGGAGCCCCCACAAAGGAGAGGAGCCCCCACAAAGGAGAGGAGCCCCACAAAGGACAGGAGCCCCACAAAGGACAGGAGCCCCCACAAAGGACAGGAGCCCCACAAAGGACAGGAGCCCCCACAAAGGAGAGGAGCCCCCACAAAGGAATGAAAGCCGGGCCGCCGCTCCCAGTGTCTCGCTCCCCGAGAGGCCCACCGGGAGGGTCCAATTAGCCCGGCTCCCGAGCCTGCAGCCTGTCCCCCGGGGCCGCACCCACCCCCCCGCACCCCGAGAGGCGACAATGCCTTGAATACCCTGGGGGTGAGCCTGGCTCTCCCCCCAAATCACAGTCCCTGCTGGGCCGGGCCGGGCCGGGAAGGAGTCAGGAGACTGGTTTGGGCCGAGCGGCCAGAGACGGATCCGCCGCCTGGTTTGGGGAGCCCCCCCCTTATTCATCCCAATTCAGAACCTCACACCGGCGCTCCCTG